CCAATTTGATGCGGGCCATTGAGACGGCCTACCTCCAATTTGGGCATCGACCAGTGACCTTGGTAGATTGGATGATAGCCGGAGGCATACCAATTTCGGTTGCGCCTCGTGTCTGATCTTGAGGTACATGTGATCCCGCATATAGGACTGCACAAATGGCGTGGATGTAGCTGCCCGATCCTTTTTCATGGTGTGAGACTCGCATGAGGAGAAGCTCATCATGGCATCAAAAAGAACTTAATGCAATTGGGTAGCCGTTTTGGACCCTTGGACTGAAGTGGTGCATCCTTGTCATCGTGGCCGATGGACCGTCGGACATCAAAGCTTCTCTGACCAAATGCAACAAAGGATTCTTGAAACCAGCAACCGAACGGACGGGAATCCCTCCGGAGCCACTTGTCCTTCTACACAACCCCTTTATAAAAAAGACAAAAACGATTACTTAGTCGCCTCGACTTGCCAGTGTCTTTTGAAAAAACGAACACCACTAGTCCAGTAAATCAAGGATTGACTCGTCCAGACTCCAGACACCACTCGACTGAGGAATCATAGAAGACCTCGACAACGAGCCTCGCTTGCCAGAGGTGCCGTGCGCGTGCGTGGCGTGTGCGGCGGATAAAGTGCGCCATGGGAGTGTAGAGAGGGAGAGAGGGGGAGAGAGGAAGAGAGGACAAGACTGTGCAACACGGGCCACCATGAAGAACAATCAGGACGGCTCTCGCGCTGCGACAGTCCAATGACTGACAAAACTTTTGTGTTGGAGGAACCTGTGACCTGTGTGTCATTGTGTGTCATTGTCATCTCAGGCGCAGCTTGAGATTCTTCGGGACTTTTACCCTGACATCTCAGTGGACTATGGTGCCTTGTTCTTAAGCTGAGCGGCATTAACACCGCTCTTTGCAGGTGGCGTTTAAGAAAGAATGTCGTGCTAAAGGGAGCAAACAACGACATCCATGACATGTCTCTTCAACTCCCTTGTTTTCCTCCTTTCTCCTTTCCCTTCTCTCCCTACTCTTACTCTTACTCTCTCTCCCTCTCTCCTCCCACATCTGTCCAATGCTTTGTTGGTTGTCCCTAAAAGGCCCTAGTTCTAGACTCAACAGCAAAACCTTCTGTTGCAAAAAGAATGCACGTGACCATCAAACAGACGGCCGCTTGAGGTTGGCGCAACGATACAGCAGAGGTTTCCAACTGGGCGGCCTTTGAGGTGCCAGAGCAACACGTGCGCAAAGCACAGCTAGAGTCCTTTTTCGGAAAACAGAACAAGAATGACACCTCTCTGAAACGAACCTACTTGACACCAAGACTAGTAATTTTGTTTCAAGAATTTCGAGCAACCTGTTGTGGATTGCATGTATGTTTTTGCATGAGTTGAATGATTTAATTCGAGTCAACTTTTTGTTGGGTTTCTTTGCAGGGTCTCTTTGGGTTTGGAGTACCACACCCGGCAGGATTTTTTGAAATCGAAGCTCTTGCCAGAGCTGGTCCTTCTGCATCCCAAGAGCAGCTCCAGCTACCCGGTGAATTTAGTTTGCAAGATCCACAATGAGCCTGGGTCAAAAGCACTCGGGCAATGCATTGAAGTTGGCTAACCCTCGTGCCCGTGTCAATTGCAAGAAGTATTTACGAACATGCCCTGGCATCAAGCTTTGAAGGAAAACGGAATCTTCCTTACTTGATAATGGTTATGTCAAAATTATTGCTCTGTTATTGTGCTGAAGGCTATACTATTGGGATCGCCAGCCATTCCATTTTCCTCAAGAATGCCATTGGAAGATCCCCTGTGCCTCAGCGGCAACCTGGAAATGGACTTCCGAACTCCAGGATTTCCCTCTGACTACCAGGAGCAAAGACGCTACTAGGGGCTCCTGGCATCGCTACTAGGAACAAAGACGCTAATAGGGACTAGGGGCTCCTGGCATCGCTCGCCAAGGATCGCTCAAGAAGGCGTCTCTCGCCACGTGCGGTGTTTAAGACGTTCATCAAGAAACAAGACAAAAACAATGCCAAAACCGTCAAGTAGTAGAAAAGCAAAAATAGAAGATGCCTTTTGTTTTTCATGTGTTGTTATTATTATTACTTTCTTTACTTTACTTATAGTTGTTTCTTGTTTAATTCTTTTCATATAATAAGTGTATGCGTTACTTTCGTTTTAATTTGGACAGGTCAGAGAGGTCAGAGACAAGTCGTGAGAGCATTTGCACCTCGGTCACCAAGACAGCGCTTCTTTGAGAGCCACTTACTTCCTCCGTGTGGTTTCTCGTGTGGCTTGTGAGAGCTTGCTCAAGCGAGAAATCTTACAAGATTGTTTTGTCAAAGGGTTTGCTCCCGGACATAACTACCAATTCCAGTGACCAGTGGCAAACATGCCGCTGAATGGCCATAATTATACACTTGGCTTTGACAACAAGAACGTTGGAACTTGTGATATTCGAGGACCAACCTTGAATTCAGTCGAGTCAGAGGAGTTAATTGGCTATTAAGAAACTCCGCGACAGGTTTCGGGGAAATGCCTGGCAATGGACGTGCTTTTCTTGGAAGGTTGCGCAAAGACGGTGTTTACATTCCAGGCATCACTAGCGTTTGCTCATCATCCCAGAGCTTGTCGACTGCCGAGGAAGCAAGCCCTTCAACAACCAAGTTCTAGAGATCTTCTACTACTTTGATAGTGCCACAGGCGAGGTACTAGAAGCAAGAAGGGTTCCTGGCATCGCTACTAGGAGCAAGGACGCTACTAGGGGCTCCTGGCCTTACTACTAGGAGCAAGAACCTACTAGGGGCTCCTGGCATCGCTACTAGGGGCAAAGACGCTACTAGGAACAAGAAGCTATTCGGAACAAAAGGCATCGCTACTACATTGATAGTGCAACAGGCGAGGCTCAGTCTCCAAGTCTCGTTTTCTCCTTGCTTCACAGAATCCTTCGCAGGTTTTCGCTAAACTGAAACGTTTCAGGTGAACTGGCCTTGGATACGGCTTCTGGGTGCAAGACTCTGGGTGTGAGCAAGGTGTGTTGGCCGCAGTTCAGAAGATTTGGCATCAGCAAACAAATTCAGTTGACATGGCAGTAGCAAAGAGACAGCAACTGCTTCACATGGATCTCGTAGTCTTTCCCGTTTTGCTCGAGGACTTGGCACATGGTGTTCCAGGTGACCCCAGCAGCACCTGTCGCGGTGTTTGCGTTGCGGAAACGTGTGATGACACATCTCACGTCCCAGGCCTTCCGCGACAGCTTTGCGAAGCTGACGTGGACCGCTGTGTTCCCTTGTGGAGAGAACTTCAGGGAAAGCCTGCACCTCTAAGGCCTCATGCTGAAACTCGCTACTAGGAGCAAGGACACTAGGGGCTCCTGGCATCGCTACTAGGAGCAAGGACGCTACTAGGGGCTCCTGGCATCGCTACTAGGAACAATGTCCGCTACTAGGGGCTCCTGGCATCCGGACAAGCATAAGATCCATGACAAGCCAATGACGCGAAGTTGATTTTGTGGGTTGCAAGTGGATCTTCATCATGTTTGTGTTGACCTGGGAAGAGTACTTGCTACAACTGAGCTGCTTGATTTGTTTGCAGGACTGGCAGACACTCCAAACTCACTTGAACCAAGTCTGAACCAACGGCAGTCCCTTGAGTCAATTTCAGGGTGTCCCAAGTGAGTTTCAGCGGTCCTTCGGTTGCATCGAGCCAAGCCCATCCCCGCCAGGCCTCCTGTTCTATCGCCGGAGCTTCGGAAGGAGCGACAGTTTTCAGTGCCATGCTCAGTCGGGCTCGGCCAAGCGGCAATCGTGGCTGTCTCAGGCAAACCTGGATGGTGTTGGACCATTGAAATTCTGAAGCGTGGAATGGACATCCCCGCTGTTCATGGTTTGCTTTTCTCGCTTCGCGACAAACTTTGACTCGAGCCAACTGTGTTCCAGTGACGCCAAGAGTGTGTCACGCGATCTAAGGGGCCATCGGACTCGGAGACCTATTCCATGCGAGGGGAGTTTCCGGAGGCCGGGTGATCTCAAAACGTCATGGTTCCGCACTGTGAGAGCTACAGGAAAACCAGTACATAGGAGAATGATTGGGGTGGAAACGACAACAACAGGATGTCCATCAGAAACAAGTGAAGCTGAACGTTTGAGGTTCAGAGCGCGGAGCAGAAGTGGGCTGAGAATTGGAACCAATGTGTCTATGGACAACTGCTCAGACCTTTTCACTTGTTGTCGCGTTGGGGTTTATGCAGAAAGGCGCATGCCATGATTGTTTCAGGTTCCACGCGTTCCGGATGCAGGGTCCCCAAAGTTATGGAGCTTCATGAGTTCATCTCAAGAAGTGACTATAGTAACAAGTGCCTTACTAGTAGTAACAAGTGCCACGCTACTAGTAACAAGTGCCTTACTAGTAGTAACCGGCACTTCAGGTCATTTGCCTGAATATCCAGACACCACCTCAAAGGAGGTTTGCGATTGTCTTTGAGATAAACTGGCCTTACGGCAGAGGGAGGAAAGGGCAAAAGAGTCGATGCGTCACCGGTAGCTCAAAGAAACAAGTTCACAAGAACGCTCTCAATCTAGTAGGTTGGAGGCCATCACTCTTGGGGTGGAGGCCATCGCAAGTAGACTTACTTGTACCTGAATGGCTCGTTTCCTTGAAGATCCAGAAGGATTGATCCTTATGCCTTTGGGCTCTCAGTCTCGGGAATCTCCCGAAGGAACACCTAAGTGCGGCACCTTGCCCAATAAACGTGAATTGCCATTGCGATGTTGAGGCATATGCCAGCATCACTGTGTTAGGGTGAACCCTGACAACCATTCTCGTTGAAATCATCGCTTTGTAGTATAAGAAAAGGATTGTAGTGAAGTAGGTCGATTCTCATGTCGTAAGAAACCTCAAGTAACAAGAATGAGCCTACACGCAAGCATGTCATGCCATGTCTAAGCTTTTTGAAAGCAAGCAGAAGCCAACAACAATATGTTTGAAAGGTCTTGAATAGGAACGCTCGTAAGGTGACCTCTCTCCCATGGCCGGCCCAGCAGCTGCGGGTTTGGCGTCTCTCCTGTCGAAGGTCCTCAGCGATGGCCAAAGCATATCGCCTCCTCAGGAGGTGGTAGGTGCTACAGTCCTCAACGAGTGCAGCACACTGGCGGAGGCGAAGAGTACTGCGAAGAGTGTGTTTCTAATAGCAAACATTGTTACTACTAGTAAGGCACTTGTTACTACTAGTAAGGCACCTGTTACTAGAAGCGATGCACTTGTTCCTAGTAGCGAACCTTGTTACTACCATGGGCAATTGACAGAGACGCAGATGTTGGTTCTACTGTAGCCTGGGTCGAACTGAATGTTATTGGATGGTCTGTACTACGAACCAAGTAGGCTCGCCTTAGGAACGGCCACGAACCTTTTCATACCTTTTCTACTCACAAGGATGCTTCTAAGACACAAATGGGAACACAGAGCTTCACAAGATAGCTGAAAAGTAGAAATGCCCACGGAGGCCTCTCTGGGCTCGTATCAGCGCAAGGGTGCGAGCGAGAAGACCGCTGCGGCCAATCCACCGGAACAGCTACGTTGGGGATACGCCTCCATCACGAAAACAGTGGTTGGGGTGGTGATGCAGATGCTCATGGCCAATAGCAGTCTACCTGAAATCAGCTGGAGACTTGGAAAAATTAGACAAGAAAGGCTCATAGAACATCAAATCCCACGAAAAACTCCTATGATTGTTCTGTTTGGGCTGGTTCATGGCTGGAAGCCAAGAATAGGCCACATTGCCAAAGTCTGGTCTCAGGAACGATACGCTCAGCCAGTGGTTGCCGGACTTGGCACCGGGCACAGACTTTGCAAATGCCTCGCTCCTGGACGTGGCCTCGCACACCGCTTGTCTTGTGGGTGAAGGTGCACCGTGGAGTGATGAGAAGACGCTACTAGTAACGAACACTGCTCCTAGTAGTAGGGCCAGGAGCCCCTAGTAGCGTCTTTGCTCCTAGCAGCGATGCCAGGAGCCCCTAGTAGCTTCTTGT